AAAAAAAGAGAGCAAAACACAGAGCCAAATATAACCTCTAAATGTGGATTTTGAAAATCTGTTATCCCTGAAGAACCACTTCCATATGATCCAATTGATCCTTGCGATAATGGCGTCTCATTCCCATTTCGATTAACATTAATTTCACAATTATTATTATCTCCACAAGAATTTTCCTCCATATCAACTTTTTCTTTCACCAGTCGTCCATTTTTCAGCTTCTCCAATCTCTTTTTCGCCTCCATCCGTCTCATTGACTGCAACTCCTTCCTCTTCTTCAGCTCCTCCTCCGCCTCGACCGGCAGCGAACGCGTCCTCATCAGCGGCTCGTACAAGTCAACCGACACCCCCACCGCTTGCCGCCCACCCTCACCAAAACCACTAACACCACCAGCATCCACCCTGAAAACCAAATTTGAAATTGAAGAAGAATGTTTCAATTTTTTCGCTGCCCTTTTCGGGTCCACACCAAATCTTCCATTCATAGATAGTCCCAAACTCAACTCAATTTCTTCATTTTCATCCTCCTCTTCTTCTTCATTCATAAAACGTTTTCCGTTCATGAATTTATGCAACATATCCCTTGAAAACCCATTCGGGTGCATGGAAAGATCAAAATTCTCTCTATTTTCACTCATTGTTCATACATTAAAACAAAGAAACCCAGATTTTCAAAACACCCAGATAGAACAAAAATGAAACAAGAAAACTTTACTATGAAAAATAGAAATTGTTTGCGCAGAGGGAAATGGAAAAAGAGGAAGGAAAATTGAGGTTAAAAAGAGGGAGTTTTTTCAATGGCGGAGTACGAAATGACAAAAGTGTCCATAAACGTGTAACGTAAATGCCTTGGGAAAGTGAAACGTGGTCGTACGAACCAGGTCTGGAGGACGTCTGATAAAACAGGCGTCTAGGATTTGGGAAGTTCAAGGACACGTGTCTATTTATGGGGGTTAGAAAGGTTGCTACGTGTCGACGAGATATCCGCCTCTAGTGCTGCAACGATGTTGTTTCTCTCCCTATAGTTGCTGCTAGGTGTCGGAGCGGCGTAGAGGGCTCTCAGGTGAACACGTGGATAGAAAGTTTGATAGCTGTATGTAAGCTTGGGCCGGGGATTGGGTTGGGTCCATTTTCGGCCCAACCAGAATTGAGTGCATGGCTGGGAGAGATTGTGGCCAAATTTTAATTGAAACAGTGATCGTTAAAGGTAGTCGGTGGGACCTGCTTATGAGGGGAGTGGTCAAAATGTGCGGTTGACTTGGGGTGCTAACGGTGCAAAAATCAATTTTCTTTGGTTGAAACTGTGCACCCAAACAGGGCCTGAAGCTCGACTCAATCCAAACCAACCCAATTTTGGGAAGGTTCGGGTTGGATTCATCGATTTTTGACTTTCAAATATTCAAAAGCATTCACATGAGTTCTCCTCCACCATCACATCCTCATCGTACCTTCCGAAAACAAAGTATTCAATTACAAGTCCAACCAACACCATAATAAACACATTGATATTGAAAAATATTATTGCCATCATTAGAGGTACCTAATTGTAGAGTTGACTCCAAATAAAATTGCTTTAAAATACCTCTATGTAGCCTATTCGTAGCAAAGGCTGGTGAATTTCAAAAAAAGTAGAAGATTGTGGAGGACAGTTGACCTACTAGATGATGGGGGTGATTTTTGGGTATCAATAGGAAGGAGCTAAAAGTGAAAGAGGTGATCCTTCGTGTATTGATAGGAAAACGAGGACGAGCAAATCATTGGTGAGCTGATCGGAGATGGGTAATAAGAGGCAATAAGAGAGAGAGATTGATATTCTGAATCGATTTTAGGGTTTCATTAAGTTTTGTAAATACATTTTATATCTTTTAATATGTTTTTTATTAATTGGGTTGCGTTGGATTGATCGATTTTTAATGGGTAACCTGCAATCCAATTCAACCTAAAATTTGAATATCAAATCCAAAATTAACCCGGTTTATTACAAAAATCAACGCAATCTGATCGGGTTACGTTGGGTTGATCAATTTGAGTGGCTGGATTGATATTTACCTAGATACTTTATAATATTTCAATTTAAGTTGTACTAGATGATAAGTTAAATGAAAAGTGAAATTAAATTCGTCATTTAATTTAATTTAATTTCATATCAACATAACCTAAATTGGGGTTACAATTTCAATGAAGGTAAATAGCATTACTCACTATTTGGCATTTTTTTAGGGTTGAAAATTTTTGGAATAGTGATTGATGAGAGAATGAGTGGTGGAAAAGTAATGAAAAGTTTTAGATTTGTGTGTAATATTATTTTATTTGATGAATGTGTGATTGTAATGAAGAAAAAAAAATTTAATGTAATGTAATTTAATTTAATGGAGGCCAAACAGGGACAACAAGTGGGGTTCATTAGACAACATGATGATATGATCCATCCTATGAAACAGAAAAGAGTTTTTTACTAAGTAAATAATTCATGCAACTTGCACATCTTTTTCATAGTAATTTAATGCCAATTTGCAATGAAAATGGTGCCAATTTTCAAAAGAAAAGATGTGAAAACTCTAAAGCTTCATCATGTAACCTTAACTTGTGCTTTTATTTATTCGAATTTACATATGATACGCGAGATTCTGTTTGACCAATTGATTGTACGTGTCAATTGATTTAATATAGATGACATTAACAATACTTTATCATTCAATTGCACTCAAATCAACATTTGTGATTGATTGGGTATGCATGATATGATGAAGTAGATGAGATTTAATAAAGTTCATTTTTTTAAATTTTATATATAATGTAAAAGCTTAGATTCGACTTATGAGCTAGCAATATTCTTTTCTCGTTTTCAAACAAATTAGAATCAGCATACCGGTTGTGGATTTTTACAACTACAGTGTTCAAATGATCTCTTTGTTTGATTATAGTTTGTTCCGTTCCATGTGTTTGTTTTGCAATTTTCAAATGACTTGTATTATCAAAAATCATGAAACGTGTAGTTAAAAGTTGTTAACAAATACTTCATTTATCTGTGAGATGTAAATAATCCACGATGATTTTCGAGTAAAAAGGATTAATGCAATCTTGAGAGCAAAAAAGCTATCAATAAAACTAGTAAGATAGCATATTTTGTTTAATAATGTCTAGTCTAATATTTTTAACTTGTACGTATTTACGTATCCAATAATCTTAGATCATTTAAGAGTTAAATAAAGCTAGATAAATAAAATAATGTCAATTTGGTCATAAAGAATTTTCCATCAAATAAGCAAAGATAAGATTAAAAAAAATCAAGAAAGAGATGTAGGTTGGACCCCCACAACAAAAGGGACTTCAACTTGCACTTTTGAAATAGTTCTGCTATGTGTACAGAAAATAATTGTTAGAATTTCTACAAGAACAATGCTATGTGTACAATAATTAGTGGTTGACAACACTTAAAACACACTCACATTAATGTGGACCCCACTGTTAGAATTTCTACAAGAACAATGTTATGTGTACAATGATTAGTGGTGACAACACTTACAACACACTCACATTAGTGTGGACCCCACTAATTAGTGGTTGACAACACTTACAAATTGTCAACCACTAATCATTGTACACATAACTTTCTTCTTTCTACAAAATACATTTGGCAGATTTCTATTGAAAAATGGCAAAATAATAATAATAATAATAATAACAACAGACGAAAAGACTCCGTTGAAATTCTGGAAGCAATTCCTCCGTACTAGGGGGATTGCTGCTTTTGAAATAGCCACGTCTGCCAAGTGGAGGCTGTTGTTTGAAAAAACACGCGTCAAGCTATGGTTGCATATCAACAGCTAAGTGACATACAACTTGCTGAAAGCGATGTGTTTGATTAACCAAGTGGAAAGTAACGTTTGAGTCCATTTTTGTTCAAAATGTAGAATAATATTTTAATAAAGAACATGCGGTTAAAAATAAGGAAAAAATTAGAATTTACGTATAATATTATTTTATTGAAAAATGTGTGGTTAAAAATAAAGAAAAGAAAAATATATTTTAAAAATAATGAAAAACAAACAAGAACTAGATGTACAAGAATATATATCAAGCAAATTTGATTAAAAAATAATAATTAGGTCGTGAGGTTATCGTATGCATGCGTCTTGTCAGATGTCACGAGTCTTGGGCTTGACGTTTTTGGTTCATAAAATGGGGTGGGCCTTCTGATGAACTTAAAGACTTTTCACCCGTATTTGATTGGACAACTTATAAAAATACTCTTAAAATTAAGAGTTTTTTGAAAAATTATATGAAACATATTTTTGAAATAAAAAATACTATACAAAATCAATTCTCTTTCTTTAATAGAAAAAGTGACACGGTAAAAAAAAGTGACACTAAAAAAGTGACCCACTGTCACTTTTTTATTAAAAAATGACATATAATGTCACTTTTATTAAAAATTGATATTTGTCACTAAAAAAGTGATAGAAATCAATGTGACTAAAAAAAGTGATAAACACAAAAAAAGTGAAAACATTAAAAAAAAAAGTGACATTTTTTAAAAAGTGACGAATTCAAAAAAAGGTACAAATTAAAAAAAGTTATACAGATTTAAAAAGTGAAAAATACTCAAAAAGTGACAAAATTTTTTTTAAAAAAGTGATGAACTCAAAAAAGCAACGAAAATTAAAAAAAGTGATACAAATTTTAAATAAAAGTGACAAACACTCAAAAGTGACAAAATAAAAAAAATGACAAAAATAGCCTTAGTTAACAGTCAAACATTTTTACATTTTAGTCCCTAAAATGTAGCTACCATTATCATTTAGCAAGATACCATTATCAATGTGTTGCTTAACAACCTCTTTAACTAGAAATAAGCCATATCAGTAATGAAAGTCCAAGAGTTTTAATCACTTGCAACATCAAGTTCAAATCCGATTGTTAGACCTTCAATTGATGCAATTTGATGATTACCCATGACCTTTCCATTGTCAATTAAGTTTTGGTTGATCGAATTGAAGAGTTGGAGCAGCATAGATTCATCAAATTGGTTCGTTCCAAATTTTTCGCACAATTTCATCGTTGCAGCCAAAAATTGATCCGGTCCCATATGCAATTGGTCTTGACCCATGGCTGGACAAGGTGCGCCAAGTGAAGGCGCACCTAGTCGAGGTGGTCCGAGATTGAAATTCGTTCGAACGGCGCCAAAATTGCAAATTTTCACAGACTGCTTCGCGCTATCGCGATAGGGAGAACTTCTAGATTGAATTAAGGTTTTTTGCTAGTATTTTGGTGCAAATTGGTGGCATGGATGAGGTCGTCTAGGGGTGGGGAGCTGGCCAGTGGTGAGTTCCGACCAGTTTGGTCACCGGACGTGGAGATTCCGATGTTTCCACCGATACCAATGTCCGGTACTCAATAAAGATTAGATTTTAGGTTTATGACGTATTAATTACTGGTTGAATTATTTAATTTGTTTTAAAATGGTATTGTTCAATTTATTTATTTTAAGAGGGCATTGGGTCTAATTTTCCTTATTTGATTCACTCCTTACCAATTCAGACAGTAATCATAATATTACAAAACTAAATCAGGGGCTGAGTTAGAGAAAGACAATTTATTTTGCACTGAATTAATGCGTTGAAAAGGTTTAATAAAT